AACAATTTAAACAACTCTGCTATTATTATACGACATCTTAAATCAAAGCAAACCTGCTATATTTTCGTCAGGAATATGGAAATAACTTCCATCAAACGTTGTTAACAAATTGTAAAACTGTACCCGAGTGTGTGTGGGCCAAAGACAACATTTCCAGGCAATCCACATTTGGTTTTTAGACGGGCTGGCATCGGCCAACGCCGGAGTTGCAGCCGCAACTGTTGTCCTGGGATACACAAAAGGATTTGCAGACGCCCAGGAGTAAATACGCCAGCATTCTGCGGCGGAAACGAAACCGAACTGCACAGTAAGGCAGCTGAAATTGATTGAAAGAACAACAAAAACGGAAAGGTGGTTGAGGAGCATCCCACCAAGTTGGTATCAAGTGGGAGACGGAGTACGAGAAATCCTGTTTGTAACGAGAAATCCTGCGAAATCAAGGCAAACGTTTGATGTTCAGCCGCGCGAAGACGCCGACGTGGCAGCCAAACAACCGAAAGAGAGCAAGCAAAATACCCTCCAAAAAACCCACTCCATTGCCCAACTTCAAGGACCTATTCCACCATGTCACAGACCCAATTCGAATCCCCCACAGAGAGTGTCGATGCCCCGCCGGAATCCTTTAACAACGATGAACCCCGAGTGGTCTGGCTGAAGACGATTATTTCCAATCTATTGGGAGTGTTCGAACCCAAATATGTGAATGCCACTATCAACAAAAATATGCCCGCCGTGGAAGCCTTTTTCAAGCGGCGCTATGAATCCCAAAGCGATCTGGACTATGTGGTATTGTTCGTGTGGCGCACCTTTTACGACAAACTTATAGAAGAGGAAATAACTGTCCTTGAGGAGGTGCCACGCCCACCGCCCACTGTTCCGGACAAAAAGGGCAAGGGTAAGAAAAAGGGCGATGCCCGAATGGCGGGCGGTAAGTCCGCAGGCAAAGCCGGTGCCGCAGCAGGAGCAGCCGGAAAGGGACGCAAGAAAGCTGGACAGGAGACGGTGCCACCAGCCGCTGGTGGAGATCAGGAGCACGCCGAGGAGGTCAACACAGGCGGAGAAACCACAGATGCCGAGGTCGAGGGGGAACTGGAAGGCGAGGAGGAGGCAACAGTGGCCGGCAGTGGCAAGAGCTCAGCTCGATCTCGACGTAAGTGAAAAGAAAGGAAGGTTTTCCATAATCTGTAATCTAGATAATTTTGAGACTTCCAATAATTTTCGATATTTTTCAAATAGGTAGCAATAACTTAGCATTGTCCGCCCAAGAGAGCGTCCGTAACTAAATTTTATTTTCTTTCTGCTTAAATAAATATTTTATATATGGGTAGTAATGATAATTTTGTATCTATTTAAAAAAATAGATTCGGTGTCGGATAAGAAATATGGAAGTTCAACTTAATGTTATATTTCCCATTTTATTTACAAATTAAAACATGCTCCAAGCCTCTTAATTTTGAAAATTATACAATTTTAAAATAAAAACTGTTATCCAAAAAATTGAAAGTAATATATTTGAATAATACACCTCTATTAATTCCAGCCAGCTCTGATACGGAAAACGGTAAATATGATGCATTACGCGAGTTTCCTTTGTTTCTGTCCAAAGATTTTAATTTCAAAAGTTTCCGTTTTTAAGTTTTTCCTCTTCCATTTCACCCCAATTTCTCCATTCTCGAGATGCATAAATTTTTAGCCCGTCCAACTTGATATCAAACGAAAATCTTGGTCCACACTTTGATTCGCGCTGCCCACTTCACATCATAAATATTTAAGGGCCTCATTTTCGTTTGCCTGGCTAAAATTCATTTCTTTTGTAACTTTTAATTTGAATCACCCATTCCACGAGCTCAACCATTCCGGCATCCAACTCATTTGATTTTCCATTGCCTGGTGCAAAGATAAGAGCAAAGTTTCGCCGGCTCATTCATTGCATTTAAATGGAAGCGCGCAACTTGCCACAATGCAAATTCCGCCCGCTGCACTTTGTTCCATCCCATCAATCTCAATCACAATCGTAATCGCGGAGCTGCATTCGCTTACTCGCTTCTGACACGCCCACTTTCGCCCCCCTACTAATGCACTCCCCCAAATTTTGCACCCTCCTCCCCCAGGAAGCAAAGGGAAGAAGAAGAAGCCCAGCTATGTGCCCGTCTACGTGGAAGTGAAGGTGAGAAACTGTGTGAACAAACCCTAATTGAAACGCACAAAGGGTGTGCGAGGGAAGCCCTAATTGAAAATGGCTCTCAACCCTTTGAAATTGATGTGATAAAACATAAAACTAGTCAGTAAAGTCGCAAAAAATTACAGAAACTGGTACCGGCGTATGTCAAGACCCCACAAGTGCACTGCCACTTCGGGAAGATGGAGTCCGAGGACCTGGACCCCAAAATCAAGTACATATACATTTTGCGGAAGAACAGGAGGGAGATTCGTGAGTACTGAAAATGTATTTATACAAGTCAGCAAACAAAAACAGGAAAAATAGTACAAATCTTTCTATATATAGACTCCATAAAATATTTTTGAAGTATAGTATAGCTACTTAAGACTCTTATATTCTTGTTACATAAAACGACTTGAAATCAATTCATCGTTTTGTGTAAACTTTTTAAAACTAGAACTTAAAAGAAATGTAAAAATACATATAACATTTTTTTGATATAATTTTTGGAACCACTCTCTTCGCAGCATCCTGGTGAAAGTCTAACGCATTTGTCTGCGTCTTGCTTGATATCCCATTTTGTCATCCTAATAATTCGTTAACTTTAATGTCCTTTCAGCCTGGTTTAGTGAGGTATCGGCTTGCTTTGCCCAAATGCCGCTGTACTTTCTGATAGGCACCGTTCGAGGGTCACTCATCAACTCGCTGAGAGATGACTTGAACTTGGTAAGCCTTGCCTTTCCGTACTACCCAACTTTCCTCCGTAATCGGACATTAAAAGACGCATCACCAAACCAAAATCACTCAAATTTGCACCCGATTCGCTCATTTCACACACCATAAAACGTTGTTCAATCAATCAAGGACTTTAAGGCCGATACGCCATTGTTTCAAGGACTCGTTCGTCCTTCCGTCCGCACTTCCTTTCATCCCGAAGTCCGCTCTCCGACCGCAAAACAAAATGTTGTGACGAATTGTAATTAATTCCCGAAACAAGGCAGTCATCTATCAAAATGCCCGCTGTGCCGCAAGATTTTTCCGCTTCACTGCATCACTTTGGAGCTGAGAGGATTTCGGGTGTGGTTGGGTGGCTAGATAGGATGGGGTGGGGGCATCACGCCTACTGAACCGAGCCCTAAGCGTTGACCGCCAACGCAAATTGCTTCATCATAGCTCCAAAACGGGCTGCGGTTTCCATTAGACTGCCACCCAAGACTCTGGCCCTACGAATTCTGCGGTCCACAAAAGTCGGCAGCGCGACGAGTGGGCTTCCATAATATTAGCTTTGCATGAAAATAAATTGGAAAATTGTTGCCAGAAAATCAGTTTTTGGCGAACGGGGCGAATCAATTAGAAAGTCTACACAGACCGCAGGCCCAGAACACAACGCGCGGCCTCCAATATCCTGGCACTCCATCTTTGATTCCATTGTACATGTGGGTTTCCTTTTTTTCACAAACAGGTTTACAAGAGCGCCATTCAATTTCAATTTCGCGAACCGGCCACAGCGGATAGTCAGCAAATGGACAGTTATGAGGGGCAGGCCGGAGGATCTGGAGGAGGAGGCGGCGGCGGTGGAGGAGCTGGTGATGCCGGCGAGGATATTTCCAGCGAGGCCAAGGAATCGGGCCCGGGTCTATTGGAGCTATCCAAACCATCGGAATTTCGTTTGAGAGCGCTTAAACAACAAAAGTATTTAACTTTTAACAAAGGCAGGGTGCGGCATTCGCTGCTCCGCTGGCTTCTGGGCAAAAATCGGGCCTGGGTTTATTGGTTTCGAGCTCTGCTGTTCTGTTGCTCTGGAGTGGAGGAGTGACTGGGCTCCGATTGTGAATGCTGGCTTTCTTTTAACCCATTTTTTTTTTTGGGGAGCGCATTTTTTGTTTGCCTTTGTTTTGCGCTTATCGCTGGTTACCATCGGCCACAGTTGCCTTTTCTCCCCTTTTTATCCTGCTGCACGGAACCCTTTTCGCACATAAATTACAGCGCATCCGATAAGAAATTTTTATTTTTAATCGGATTTCATGCTACCATCAACGGCGCCGTTCTCCGTTGTCGTCGGTGTGCGTTGTTGTCTTCTGGTTCTGGTTCTGATTCTGGTCCTGGTTCTGGGCAGTTTCCATTTGTTTGGCAGGCAGCATTTATGGCACATCCTGGCGCGCCTCATTCATCCTTGCATTGGCCTTTCATTGCCGCCTCGCGAATGCCACTTGACCGCCACAGTTAAATTTTTCCCCTTTCATTTCGGGCCGCATTTTATTTTTTCCTTTTTTATTTCGGCCATGTAGATTAAAAAATGCCAACGCAGGAGGAGCCTGAGAGTTGGGTTCGTGTCCACATCCTCGTCCACGTCCAGCGGAGTAGCCTTTGTTACGTTTTGTTGTCGGCCCTTGTATTTGTTGCTCATTTTGCTTATCGGGAGCCTTTCATTACGCTTTGTGTTAATTTTGCATACTGCCCAGCCGTTAATTGTGTTTGTTTATTTGCCACTCCCTCCGATCCATTTCTGCAGGAAGAAAAAGGAGATGGAGGCGGCGGCCAAAAAGGCGAAGGCCAAGAAGCCGGAAACGGAACCCACGGAGGAGGATGAAGAAAGCGATGCTCACAAAATCGAGACCCATATCTCGTCCTCCGAGGAAGAAGGTGCGTAGATACTTTAACCGAATCTCCATAATCGAGAACAACAATTTTAGAATCACATTTTAAATTCTTTTAAGGTTAATCGTATCATTTGACTACAACTTTCTTTCAAAAAACCAATTTATAATTAAAACTTGATAATTCCAATAAGGACACAAATATTTTTAAATGTTTTATAACGTAGTATATAGTGACTTACCCCATATTTTATTACAGTGGTTGAGAAGGTTGAGAAGCTGACGATTGCCCAGCGTTGGGAGAAGATGCTCAGTGAGACGAAGGCCAAAGTGGAGGCTGAACACGCTGCCGAGGAGGCCACTCCCCCAAGAATCACACCAATCCAGAGGAGGCTTCTGAAGGAGATCGAGGAGTTCCAGGGTGAAATCACCTGGACCATTAACCACATTGTCTGGGCCTTCAGTCTTCCATCGTCATATATACTGCCGGGTCAGGAGGAGACCGAGTTCGAGGACGCCATCATTCGCGTGCCTGTCGATCCTAAAAGACTGGACCTGGTGATCACCTACAGTCAGCAGCAACTGGAGGAAGTAGTCGACGGTTGGATAAAGTATCTCAAGAAAACCATGAAGACGCTAACAGATGCCAAACTGGACGATTTTACTCCGATGGCCGAGCACCGCTATTGGCACAAAATGGAGGTGGAGCTCTACGGAACTTTGGAGCAGTTAAAGACTGAATTTGTGGTAGCTGTTTTACAGCGTTTGACTGATGACAAATCTCCAGTCCTGGACGAATGGCAAAAGGTTCTCGAGAAGACAGAGGCCCGCTTCAAGCTGGCCAAGGAAAACTCAGACTATTTAGGAACTATCATTGATTATCTGGAAGTAAGTTGTATTAACTTATCACCTTTTTCAAGTGTTTGAAATTGAAATTTCCAACACTACACCAATCGAGTAATTTTAAATCTAGATATGGTGAAGAGTTTATAACACAGTTATATGTTAAATTGGGTATAAATATCAAGAAAACAAATTGTATCAACTTTCTTAAATACATACCAGTTTAAAATTTATTTCCATCCGAAAACAGGACTCACAAAAAGTTATGAAATACTTTTCGGAAAGTGTGGCAACTCTGTAACTTCAACTTAGTTTTTTGATCGGAACTACTGGTTCCCAAACTTGTTCTTTTCGGAACCAAAACTTTACAGTTACTTAGTTTCAATGGCTATGTTTTGTGGCTTATTTTAATCAAATTTAAACTTTATATATAATACTTACGAGTTATGCGTAGAATTGCTATTAATGTGTATTATCTTAATCTACTCACCAGAAAGTGCGCAGCTATGAGAGCTTCAAGATGGTGGTGCTCCAGATCCCCAACATTATGGTTGGGCTGCGTCACATCTGGACCATGTCCAGCCACTTTTGCCGGGATCCCGAGATGCAGGTCCTGCTCTGCCAGATCTCGAATGTGTTCGTCCAGAAGGTGAAGAGCATCATCAACTTTGAGAACATCTTCAAGTAAGTATGTAAATTTGCCAAATGCGTTTAGCTTTGACTTTTAAACTAGAGATGAGCGCGTGCGCTGCGTGTCCGTGAGAAATATCGCATATGCTTAGAGATGTCAGAATATCTAAACGATAGTTTAGGTATTTCCGTTTTTCCATTTAATCAATAATTACCTACTCGCTCTTATATTGTAACATTTAACTTAAGTTAAAGAAAAATTTATAAAAAAGTATGTTTTCCCAAAGTTTTAGAAACATGTTTTTTAGTAAGGTATAGTTGTTTTTACTCGAACTTAAACCTCAATCTTACTAACTCCCTAGCTTCCTTAGCCGTTTAAAAATTATGTGGGATTTTCCTGAAGTATTCTCTAAATGAATTTGCTTTTATGTTGACAGGTATTCTGCGACCTACACTTATGAGACTGCCACCAACTGTGCCAATTTGCTGCGCTGCTGGAAGCAAGCCTACAAGCTCAGTCGCCAGCACATCGAGGATTCTGGGGCCGGATCCCGCTGGGAGTTCGACCGAGTTGCGCTCTTCAATGAAGTTAACCACATCCACCGCGTCGCCGTAGACATTGCCTATGTGGGTCGCGTATTCGTCCAGTACGAGAACCTTTTTGGACATCGTCTAAAGGCCTGCATCGCGGATCCCTCAATTGTGGACAATCTAATGCGGAAGGTATACCGCATGCTGGATGATCTTATCAAAAGTGTGGACTACGACATGTTCAGACCGGGAAATTGGGAAAACTGGGAGTACTCCCTGGAGATGTTCAACAAGCGGCTGGACAACGTGGAGAACGAGGCCAAGAATGTCATCGATCAGAGCATCAATTCCCTGCTGTCCTCTGAAAAGGGCCTGGATCTGGTCGTCAATGCCATGAACATCGACACTAGGGCTGGCCTTCAGGAATTCGTGTCCACCAAACACGAGAATCTGCTGCGATTCTTCGTGACTGAGATAAATGCTGTGGAAAGAGTTTTTACGGTACGGAAGTCAGGATAAAATATGTTTGATCTATACATATATAATTATTATAATTACAAATCACTTGCGCTATTATTTGTTAAGAAAAAAAGATTCATGGACTCTAAAAGAAAAATTATTATATTCCTCAGAAATTGAAGAAATCCCCGCCTATGGCCAAGCATCAGCCGGCCAAAATAAGTGCAATCTTCTGGGCGCGACTGCTGGGCAAGAAGCTCAAAACTTCAGTGTTGGCTTTCAAGAAGGTTGAGGATGAACCGGCTATTAAGAACAGTTTTCTGAAGCGCAGCTCCTTTAAGCAGTACTTCGAGCTGATGACGGTGATGTTCCAGTTCGAAAAGGTGCTCTTTGAGAATTTCATCCAGAACGCCACTTACTTGGTGAATACCACAAATCGTTCCAACGTACTACGAATTCGCATATGCAAAGACTCTACAAGTAGGTCTTATAGAAAAGTTAATACCGATAGAAACTAATCGTTGTCCCCACAGTGAGCTATATTTCGGAAGCTGTCCAAACCCTAAAGGCAAAGCCCCGGGCGGAATTACAGATGAGCAGTTCCAGGCGCATCACGCCCGTGAAATCGAACCTAGTGGCCGTGCAATCGGAAGCCTTTAGCACCTATAGTCTTGCCGAATCGGCGGGAACGGAACCAAGTACGGAGTCGGAAGATGAGGGCATGTTGGTGGGCGACACATCGCAAAAGAAGCTAATGTGCCGCATCAACCGACTGACCGTTCTGGTGGCAATGATCATGTGGATGGTCAGCAATACGCGAAAGGCCAATATACAGCTAATGGAATGTCAATCCTTTATCAAAATGATCAAGGACAAGAAGCCAAAAGACATTACGGCAATGGATAGGCACTGTGTGAGGACTTGCGAGTGTAAGTCCTGGATATATATTTGTATTAACCCTGTTAACTTAATAGTTGGCTATTACTTTAGTGATGCAACGTGCGGAATCTCAGTATCTACTGCCCATTTGGCGCGAACTGGTTGCGGACAAAACACTCATCGAGTACGACATGGACTTTGTGGTCAATCTGAAGCGCGATGTGTTTGATGTTCTGTTCGAGGCTCAGCAGTTTGAGCACCTCGGTTTTACACTGCCAGCTGTTCTGCGCACGGCGATCATGAAGAAAGATCTGCTCTTCAAGGACTATGAAAGAATGACGGAGGTGGTCGACCGGTACAGGGCGATCATTAATAACCTTTCAATGTCCGAGGTTATCTTTCTGCGGGGTCACATCTACGACACAGAACTCTTTATTCAGATGGGCATTGGCCGATATACGTGGACCTCCTTCAATATTAGCAAATTTTGCGATCAGATCAACTCACAGTTGCGCAAGCTAACCTCAATTGTGTCCCAAATCAATTTTATTCGTCTGGATCTGCGCTCTCGCATCGATATGATAAGGAGCTATAATTTGTTCAATCTTGACGATGAACTGAAAAATGAGATGTCTTCGGCCTCTGATAGTCAACGTTCATCGACTCAGCAAGAAGGAAAGAAATCGTCGCAAAGGTTCAAATCGGTCACTGGTGAAACGATAACCATGTTCACGATCGAAAAAGATGTGCCCGCGGAGGAAAAGGCGGAACAAATCTGTGGCTCCGGTATTTATCCTTGCCAAGGCTACTTTGAACTTTTGGAGGCATCGAGAAATCGAAAGGCTGCGCAGATGAAGAAGCTTTATGACTCCCTGGGTCCAGTTTTGGTCAAGCTGGAGAGCTTGGTGCTGGGCACATTTTCGGGTAGGTCAGACCGGATGAAGACCTACTACGAATACTGGGAAGAGGAAACATTCAAGTGCATTGTTGAGTAAGAATCGACTTTATATATCCTGTATACCTCATTTATTTTATAATTTGTACTTCTTTCCAGCATGACCTATCAGAATCTTAAGTGCTATATCAACCGTCTACTCTCGGATAAACCCATGTTTGAGGTTAACGCAGTGCTCCTCATGTCGGAGATTGTTTTGGAACCATCTGTCCAGGAACTGCAAAACACCATAGTAACCGCCACCAAGGACTATATCTCAAGGCTCAGGATCTTTACGCGCTGGATGAACGGAACCTGCATCGCCTGTCCACTAGTTGAAATGGGCAAACAATTCAAGTACAATTACACCTACTACGAGGACGTCATTCAGATCAAATCCATTGTGGATCTAGTCATAAACATACACGATTTGGCTGTTCGAGTCGCTGGCGAAGCAAGAACCTTCGTGGCCCAGTACGTATATGTTATTTTTCTAGCAAAAGAAAACGAAATTAATGCCTTTTATCCCATAGATTCCGCAAGTACTTCAATCTGTGGGCCTTTGAGAAGAGCATCATCTGCCAGAAGTTCTTGGAGAAGCAGGTGACGCTCATTGAAATCGATGAGAAATTTACATTTTACTCGTCCATTGTGGAAACGCTGGCCAACACCCGCAAGTACCAGGACATCAAGTGTGTGCGCATAAATTTGCAGCCATTGCTGGAGAGCATAACGCAACATGCCAAGGATTGGTGCACCACACTGGGCGAGGAGCTGTTGCGCCATGTCAACGACAACATGAGGGCAATGCGGAACGAAATCAAAGTGAGTCTGGGCTCTGCAAGATTTCGCATAACCCTTTCCTATCCTATCGCATCACCCCAAAAACACCCCTTTTAATCTGTGCAAATCTGTGGCAGACCCTCGGCCTGAATCTCAACAAGACCACACGCGAGCTGGAGGACTTCAAGCTGGTCATGACCACGATTGGTACGGTGCAGTCGACGACTTTGTCTAACGAGCAGAAAATTCACGAAATGCAGGAGACCTTCACCATTCTCAGCGAGCATAAAATTATGGTAAGACACGTCTTATATTTTCGATTTTGTATCTCCAGATATGGTCAATGTTTTTATTCGGTTTCCCGGTGGTATTTTTCAATCCTAATCCAATCCTTCTAATAGCACACTCCCCGTTTAATGAAAGTTACTTAAGTCTGCCAACCATGGCGCGCTTATTTGTGTATTCAAATGAGCAGTTTTACAAAAATCCCATCGAAATCCCAGTCGAGCTGGACTGAGACTACTGTCACTGTTTCTATTTCTGTTTACATATGCATATTCGGCGGTTGGTCTGCCCAGGACCATTTGGAAATGGCTTTCCGCTTTTTGGCGCAACCACCACACAAATGGTTACGTAAATGCAGCTGCAGCAGCAGCAGCAACAGGACTATCCAGACCATAGTCCATAGTCCAGATTAGGATCCGGACTCTCGGACCCGACCCGGCCAATGCTGCGTATCGGAATTTGTGTCTGTGTGCTGGCCATTTTGGGATCCGTTCGCTCCGTTTCGTTTCGGTCCGTTCATTTATTGATGGCATTCCGTTGCGGCGGCGACGTCGC